CGGCGGACCGTTTGGAATGCAGTCAAAACTGTCCGGTCGTTGCGATGGCAGCAGCCGAGCTCTGTCTGTAGAGCAGGCTGCGATGCTGGGGTCTCCAGCCCCCCGGGGTGAGAGTCAGAGACCCACTGCAGATCTCCTTTGCAGAGGGCTTCAGATGCCGGGTTGCCCCGTCGCCATCTTGCCGCGTCCCCCCCAAATAACATCTTATCTTTCAGTTTCTTCAAAGCACTAATACCTAACTGAAATTATTCATTTCCTTATTTATTGCCTGGGTCCCCACTAACACGTAAGCACCAAGAGGGTAGAATCTTTGTTTTCTTCACCAAGAGTCTAGAACAAGTGTCTGACAGAGTATATGCTTAATATATACTCACTGGATAAATAATTGAAGAAGGGTGGCGGAGAAGGTGCTGGAGGCCAGGTGGTCGCTTCCCGCCCCCCAGCTGGAGCTGGCGCCCAGTGGAGAGGTGCCGAGCGGAGAGGAGCCGAGATCGGCGGGGAGCGGAGCCGGCAGAGAGGGCTCCAAGCTCCCGCCATGGCCTGGAATACACTGTCCTTGCGCTTTCACCGGGTGGACGTGGCCGAGTTTGACAAGAACAAATTTGTGGACAAGCAGCGGTGGGCGGGGGGCCGGCAGCAGCAGCAGCAGAGCCAGGCCCGGACCCTAGCGAAGTGGGCGGGCTCCTGCGGCAAGGGGACAAACTTCGGGAGTTCCATGCAGCCTTGCGGAACTCTCCCGTCAACACCAAGAATCACGCCCTGAAGGAACGAGCCCAGGGCGGGGTGCTGAAAGTGCCCACAAATCTCAAGAGCAGTGAAATTGAGCAGGCTGTGCAGTCACTGGACAGAAATGGCGTTGACTTGTTAATGAAGTACATTTATAGACGGTTTGAGAAGCCCACAGAAATTAGCAATGGCTTGGAAAGGCCTTAGCAGTAGGAGGACTAGGCTCCATTATAAGAGTTCTTACAGCAAGAAAGACTGTTTAAAAAAAAAAAAAAAAGACTCATGCTACCTTGAGAAGAATTGTGGATGCCCAGGCTGGTGAAGAAGGAATTGACAATGGACCATCTTTCTAGGAACTCCCAACTAAATTATTTCAGGACATGTATCCGCTGAAATGTTTTTCATTTTCAAGGTGGAAGGAGAAATTTTCTTATTGTTTCCCAAATCCTTTGCAGGATCTGATAGTCTATGCCCTTGTCTACAAGTAATGCAGGACTGACATTCTGTCTACTAGAGTGGCTGGCCAGCGTTGGTCAGGTGTACCTATGTGCATTGAGGGAGGGATGATTCCGGCTGGTGCAGATCCAACGGCTATGGTTAAAGGGAGAGTTTGTGTTTTTTGCAGTGAAAAAGACCCGAGAGTTTGTAAAGACATCCTGTCTTACCAGAGAAGGCGGATATGCTTGGGTTCCTTGTAAAGTGCAGCAGGATACTCTTGGCTTATTAGTAAAAAAACATAAAAATTACAAATAAATAAATAATTGAAGAATGATATGGGAGGAACTGAGGAGAATCTAACTTTTTCCTGCATTAAACTCATCTGACAACAAAATAAATTAAGATAATTAAAAATATTTTCAAAATTAAACAGTATTATATAAATCATAAGTTTCTTATACATAATTTAAAATAAAGCTGTATTTCATTTTACTGTGCAGGGCAGTGAAACATTACACAATAAATTATGAAATCATGTGAATCAACAAACCAAGCAAAAATTCTTAACTGGTACTTAGTAGACATGTACTTAGTGGACATGTAGACATGGTAAAAATTAAGTAAATAGTAAAAAAAAAAAAGTACTGATGTGGCTGTCAAAGTGGTTTAACGTGTGGAAATAGAGTAGGATCATGGCAGTGAAATTTGGAGACTAATGGGCATGTAACGGTCTCTGGCCTAAATTAAGGAGACTGGCTGTTTCAAAGCTCAGGGGACAATAGGTACTTATTGAGTATTTAGCTTCAGAAGATTTATATTCTTAATTTTAAAACATAAAGCTGTCTTAAATCTTAAAACAGTCACCTCAAATTCAAGCCAAAGCAGTAGCAACAACAAAAATAATGCTATGTGTTTACACAATCATTGTTCAGGTTCACAACTCCTATTGATACTTAATTTTATTATTATTTTCCTTAAAATTACACTACTCAAAGTAACTCAGACATAAAATTAGCATTGGAAGAAAATCACTTTTGTATATTATTTAAACCTTGAGGATAAAACGCATGCAAGTACTTCTAATCATTTCAGAACGAATATGGCATATAAGGTGTAAAATGGATATTTATTTTTATTATTATCAATAGAAGATTAGAGTTATAGTAAGTTTCTCAGAAACTATTGTAACAGTTTACATCATGGTACAAAATTATCATATAAATTTTCCTGATGAAAGGCAGATGGGATGGCTGATATTTGTATGCTTATTTTCCAAATGCAGAATTCAATAAAGGGGTGTTGACAGAAGAAAAACTAGCACGTGCAATGGGAATATATGAGAAATGTAATACTTTTTGTGCATGATGTTAATAATTCCAATCTAAATTAATCCAAGTCAATTAATATGGTGCAATAAGAAGAAACAGACTTCATTAACAAGGTAATCTAAGTATATGAAACTCCATCTCTAAATTGATTCCTTTTGAAAATTTTCCCCAAGAGCCACAGCTTCACCAGAAATGCTCACAGGACTGATCTGTAAATCTCATAGTATTACCAATAGACAAACTAACAAATAACATAAGAAATAAATGGCCTAGCTGGGTACAGTACATAATCTTTTGAGATTGGCCTTTTATACTAAGCAATCCTTAAGATCTAAGTTATCAGGTATCGATAGCTCATATCTTTTTATTGGCTGAGTAGTATTTCTTGGTCTATATGTTCCAGAGTGTGTTTAACAATGGAAAACATCTGAATCGTTTCCAGTTTTTGGCTATTACAAGAAAAGTTAATAAAAAATCTATAAGTTAAAAAATAAATAAAAAATAAATGGCAAGGGTGAATGTCCTGGCTGCACTCACAAGTCACTTGCTATGCCAGGCTTGGCTGTGCACAGTGCTACTGCTCTACTTTCAAATTATTCCAAAGTACAGGACATTCTAACTAGCAAATGTCAAATGGGTCTTGTAAGAGCATGGCTTCTGAAATGAGTTTAAGGATTATTCAATATTTAATTTTGACTAGGAAATATTGTAGTTATAGTGGTTTTGTTTTATAACCTGTTTTCCACCAAAAGGATAAAAGAGAAAACACAAAGGTGAAAGTGGGGGCAGGGAGGTTTGGGGCAGGGGTTATCTTCATTTTCTTGGTTAAGTGGGTACATTTTTTCCTTAGAGCTAAACAAATTTTGCTGATACTCAGCTGTCCAATCATCTGGAAGTGAAAGATTTATAACAGCCAATTTATAATTATGTGAATAAAGATTTGAAAAGCATTTGATAGTGTGCTTCTAACATGTCTCTTCTTTCACCTGTATAGCTACATAAGACAGATCACTCTGCTCACGCTTGATCTCCCAGTCTATATCTGCTTCTGAATCACTAGAGTAAATGTCAAAGAGAGAGCAAGTTCTGGTCCACAACTCATCCATCTGAGTAGCTGCATTACACTGTTGTTTTCCCAACACTTTCACTATGGCCTGAATATCTGAAAAAGAATAAGCACAATTACCTACGAGTTAGACTTTGCTTCTCCTGTATCTTTAATATACAAAAGAACAATTCATTACTCAATCAATGGAAAAGTCAAAACACACCCACACTACGGTGAGGGGCCTTTTCAGAGAAATCTGTGTCCTTCTGGGCACCGGGCCTTCTTCACAGTGAGCAGGTTCTGAAGAGACATTGCTGCACAGATGCTCAGCGTGGACTTGTGTTTGCATGACTTCATTTTCATGTGTAATCTAAAAATATAAATCAGAGGATGATATCAAAGGCAAGTCTACTTTATAGAGCTTTATCTTTCAAAAGTTATAAGTAATAAAAGAGTATAGCTAATACTTTTCTTTTTTTTTGAGTTGGAGTCTCACTCTGTTACCCAGGCTAGAGCACAGGAGCATGCTCATGGCCATTGCAGCCTCAACCTGCTGGGCTCAGGCAATCCCGCCTCAGCCTTCCAAGTAGCTGGAACTACAGGCATGCACCACCATACTCGGCTAATTTTTCTTGATTTATTGTAGAGATGAGATCTCGCCAAGTTGCCCAGGCTGGTTTTGAACACATGGGCTCAGGCAATCCTCTCACCTTAGCCTCCCAAAGTGCTGGGATTATAGGTGTGAGCCACCATACCTAGCCAGCTAATATTTTTCAAGGTCACATATCAGCAAGGCTGAAGCTTGAACCCAGGCAAGCTGGAACTCCTTCATACTGTTTTTCACTACTTACACATCATAAGTTCTGGTCAAGCAGCATCTATAACCTATTTGCTTACAACTCATTATTTTTTTCCTTATATCAACAGTTAAAAGAGGTAATAATACTAGCATTAAATTATTGAATATCTTAGTGGTAATATTCTAGAACACTTAATCATCAGTCCTTTATACCTGATGGGCAACTATTTTAATGAGTGGCCTTAATACTTTCCCGAGAAAAAATTAAACTATGAAATGGAAATTTTGATTTGTGGGGGCAGGAATAGGGGTAAGAGGTAAAAAGAGAGGATCTGAATACACAGAAGAGCACATAAGACAGGGTACCTAGAAATTATGTAGAGGAGGCTATGAAAAGATACCTGGAAAAGGCAAGAAGTTCTGGAAGAAGAGAAGATAAGAAATGACAGAGAAGTGAGAACAACATTGTCACGCTCAGTAGCTGGACCCACAGCCCTGGTGGCAGTAATGACCTTCAGGCTGTCTACTGAGAAAATACTTTAGTAGACATCTTTGGTTGCTATACTATAGGCTATTAATACCCAAGTTACAGAAATGTTGTGAAGAAATTCTTGTGAAGTTCCCCTTTGCAACATGAATAATTGTACCTAATGTTATGAGGCTTTGGGCAAAAACATTAAAAGGCTTATTTTTGTGTGTATAAAATCATGACCAAGCCAGGCTCGGTGGCTCAGCCTGTAATCCCGCACCTTTGGGAGGCTGAGGTGAGTGGATTGCCTGAGCCCGCGGGTTTGAGACCTGCCTGGGCAGCGAGATCTCATCTCTACAATAAATCAAAAAATCAGCCGGGCGTGGTAGCGTGCGCCTGTAATTCTGGCTACTCGGAAGGCTGAGGCAGAAGATCGCCGGAGCCCAGCAGGTCGAGGCTGCGGTGGCTGGGAGAGGCCACTGCACTCCAGTCTGGGTGACAGAGTGAGACTCCAACTCAAAAAAAAAAATCATGACCAATTTCCATTAGCTACATCTACTTCTAAGCCAAGCATTGTAAAAGTCAACAGTAAATATATTTTTCTTTACCAAAAAAGATGTACCCTGATAAAATAGAATTTTATGAATTTAGGGTTTTTATGAATTCAGGGTTAAAAAAACTTTTGTTCCCTTTAAAACAATACATTTTTTTACTGAAAAAAATTTGTACCATGTAGAAAAACAAACATTAGTCATAATTTTACAACTCATAGCTAAAACTTTACGTTCTGACGTATTTTTGTCTTTTTCTATGTATTTTTTAAAAGTAGGATCACAAAATATGTTTTATAACCTAGTTTCCTGCTTATTATATATCATGTTTCCATGTTATTAAATATTCTGTATCATCATTTCTTATGGCTGCATAGGAATCTACTGTATAGATATACTACAATTTATTAAAACAATTCATATTACTAGAAATACTTGAACATAAATCTTCTATGTACATATCTGATTGCTTCTTCAGATTAAAAGCTTAGAAGCAGTCTTTCCAGGTAAATATTAATCCACAAGAACATGAGTCAAAAGAAAATGTCGAGAGTAAGGCAGAAAGAGACAAAGGGAAAATGGAAAATATAGAAAGGATCATAAGAGACACAGGGGATTAGATGAAAAAGTAAAACATAAAAAGGGTAGAAGAATATTTGACTAAATAACAGCTGAGAATATATCCAAGTGGATAACAGGCAGTAAGTCACAGTTTTATAAAAGTACTATAAACTCTTTCTTTATCAAAGTAAAAACAAAGAAAACCAAACCTACGCACATTATAGCAAAACTGAAAATAAAGAGAAAAAGTGAATAGCAGCCTGAGGAAGAAAGATGCATTTTCTTGAAAGGGGCAACCTTAAGACAGAGCAATGCCTAGACTCTTGATGACACAGAAAGACTGAAAGTAGAGGGATGGAGAAATGAACTGTGCAAATACCAACCTAAAGAAAGCAGCTGTTGCCATATTAACACTGCATATCTAATAACATTACTTCAAAATATATATCACAAACATGGTTAGAATTATAAGACTAAGCATGTAATTTCAAAATTGCAGTGGAAAATTGGAACCTCCATTTCTCAGTAACTAATCAAACAAATAGACAAAAATCCCTTAAGGATATAGGAAATTTAAACCACACGATTAACAGACATATATGGAACACTATACCCAATTGCAGAAAACACACTAACCTCAAGCACATGGGACATTTAAAAAACTGACTATGTTGGACCTAATACAGGTTTCAACACATTTCTTTTATATATAAAATAAATATATATATTTTAAATTTTTTATTTTAAATTTTTTATTTTAAATATGTGGGGTACAATTCAGGGTTAGGTAAACAAATGTTCATTATGCAGATACCCTTGTTGATGAGGTGTGCTCCCCCCTCCTCTGGCAGTTTCCTACTACTGCCAATCCCACCCCACCCTCCCCTGGCAGTTTCCCACTACTGCCAATCCCTTTCTAAGTTTCAATACATTTCAAAAGACTAGGTCCATATATTGTATTTTCTCTGGCAACAATGTAATCAACCAAGAAATCTATTATAAAAATATAACTACAAGATGCCCCAATGTTTGAAAATTTAAATATACTTCTAAATAACCCACGAATAAAAGATAAAATCACAATGGAAATTAGAAGACATTTTGTACTAAATAATTCAGTAGAGCCATGCTTATGAGAATTCATAGTCTTTAAAGCATACATTAGGGTATAACAATTAATTAGACTTTTAAAATTTAGACTGGAATTATTAACATCATGCAAAAAATATTCCACAAAATATCTCTAATATATCCTTTTTTTAGGAGCCAGATGTCCTCTGTCAATACTACTCTACTGACTACATTTGGGAAATAAGTTTGTTAAACTTAGCTGTCCCATCTATCAGTCACCATAAACAGTCTGAAAAGAGAAATATGGAACCAACTCACATGCCCATCAAAAGTGGACTGGATAAAGAAAATGTGGTACATAAACATGATAGAATATGACAGTCATAAAGAGGAACAAAATCATACCCTTTGCAGCAACATGGACGCAGCTGGAGACCATTAGACTAAGTGGACTATCACAGAAACAAAAAAATGAATACTGCATGTTCTCACTGTGATCACAGGTTACATAAGCACAAAGGAGGGAACAACAGAAGTTCGGACACTGCTACAAAAGGGAGGGAGGGAGCAGGAATAAGGGGCACATAGCCACACACTGGGTACCAGGTCCACTTTCAGGGGGAGAAATGGCCCGCTGGAAGCTCAAACCTCACCTGCATACAATTTACTTCTGTAGTAAATCTTCACATGTACCTCACAATCCTAAAATTAAAAAAATATTTTAAAAAACTATTGTAAAAATCATATCATATGGGGAAATGTTAAAGAATTTCTCTATGAAATTAGGAACGAGAAAAGAATTCCCCATAACCTTTTCTGCTTCCCACTCTGTACTGAAGGTTCTAGCAAGTGTGATAGGAAGAATAGAAATAAAAGCATGAACATCAAGAACTCTTTTCAGATGATATTTTTGTACATATAGAAAACTCAAAAGAATTGATCAACTATTGGAATTAATAAATGGGTTTAACAAAATGGATACAAGTTCAACAAAAACCAATTTATCAACATATGCAGATTACAAAATTAAAAATACCATTTATAGTAGCAAAATAAAATAGGTAGGAATAAATCCATTGAAAGATATACAAACTCTCTACATAGACTGCTACAAAACATTTTAAAGAGAAATTTAAAAACCTAATAATGAAGGTATGTGTTCATAGATTAGAAAAAACAATATTATCAATATGTCATATCACATTCACTTACAAATTCAATGCAGTCCCAATCAAAATCCCTCTAGATATTTTTGTGGAAACTGATTGATCAATTCTAAAATGTACATGGAAATTTAGAGAGCCCAGGACTTCCAAGATATCCATGAACATGACCAAGGTAAGAGTAATTAATCAACTGAATATTAATTCTTAGTAAAGCTACAGTAATTAAGACAGTGATAATTTTGCAAGGATAGGCAAACAGATAAATGGAACAGAATAAAATACATGGAACAAGATCCATGTATACATGGATGAGTTATGACAAAGCTGATATTGCAGGTTAATGAGGAAATGTTAGTCTTGTCAATAAAAGATACTGTGTCATCTTGGTATCTATATGAGGAAAAAGGAAATTAAATCTTACCTCACACCATACAAAAATCAATTCTGAATGGACTGTAGATCTAAATGTAAAAAGTAAAAATATCAAAATGTACAGAAAACAGCATAGTAGAATGTTTTACACATTAAGCATAAAGAAAATAATCGATCGATTGGACTACATCAGAATTAAGAATTTCAGTACATCAAAAGACACTATTAAGAGCCAAAAGGCATCTCACAGTGAGAGAAGACCAAAACATTAAACTGAAAAGGACTTCAAGGTGAAACCTATTAAGATTTCTAAATCAACAATTTTCCAGCAGAAAAATGGACTAGATTTGAAAAGGCAAGTCACCAAGGAGGCTATGCAAATGTCCAATTAACATTTTGAAAGGTGTTTTCTTACTAATTTTATTTGTAATCAGGGAATGCAAAGTAAAAACACCACTACATACGTTGAGAATGAATTCAGATGTGAAAGACTAGTACTCCCAAGTGTGGACAAGAATGGGGAACAAACTTTCGTATTGCTGGTAAGTGTAAACTGGTACAAGTATTTTAGAAAACTCTTTGGTACTATCTACTAAGGTTTAAATAATACTATGACTCAATAATTCTAGGTATACAGGGGGACTGCATACAACCCGGAATTACCTTTTAGAGGGCAGGCCCCTTGTAGTCCAGGCTTCCCCTGCTAGGTGAGAGTTCTAGGAACCCATTGGCATCAGTGTCTCAGCTAGCATTGTGAGAGGCTATGTTCTGCTTCAGTGTATTTTTTTTTTTTTTTTAGGTTCTTTCAACACGTTTGCTCATTTCTTTTTTTTTTTTTTTGAGTCAGAGTCTCACTCTGTCGCCCAGACTGGAGCGCAGTGGCCGCTCCCGGCCACCGCAGCCTCGACCTGCTGGGCTCCGGCGATCCTTCCGCCTCAGCCTTCTGAGTAGCTGGAACTACAGGCGCGCGTTTGCTCATTTCATGATGGGTGATTTACAAGCGCAACTGCCCACAACGAGATGAGTGTTCAGCAGTTTGGGGCCAAAAACAGCATGATCCCCATGCCCCACCCTTCTTATTCACTGGATCTCTCCCCAAGCAACTTCTTTTTGTTTCTCTGGATGAAAAAAAAAATCCTTAAAGGAAAACGTTTAAAGTGTGGAAGAGGTAAAACAAGAAACAGCAGAAGCATAAAAAGGCATCAAGATGGACACGTTCAAAATGGTTTTGAGCCGTGGAAAAAGTGTCTCAATAGGTATATCGCATCAAATGGAGAGTACTTTGAAGGTGACTGAAATTTAAACATGTAAGAGTAAATACACAATTTTTTATAAATAAATTCCGGGTTTTCTTGGGTCCCCTGTATACTTTCAGAAATGTGTGCACGTGAGAGCCCAAAGACACATACCAGAAAGTTAATAGTAGTATTACTTATGACAGCCTGAAACCAGTAACAACCCAAATGTCCAACATCAATAGACAGATTTTTAAAAATTTGGTATATTCATACACAATGGAATACTATATGACAGTAAGAACAAACTCCTGTTATATGAAACAATATAGATGAATCTCAAAACATGTTGAACAAAAGAAGCCAGAAACAAAAAATGCCTACAGTGATTCAATATATATGAAATTTAAAAAGGGAAAAAAAATCACACTTTGTGTTTACCTTTGAGGAGAGAGGAGCGGTTGGGGAAGGGATGATCTGGGGACTCTTGGGTAGTAATGTCTCCTGATAGTAAGGTTCAATTTCTTTAGCCTGGGTCTGGTCACACACATTCAGTTTGTGATAACAAGATTTGTTCACTTTTTCGTACATTTGCTATACTTCTATTAAACAATTAAAAAAAATTTTAAAGAGAATGCAAAATTAAGGAAAAACTATAATCATAGCTATTTATGAGGCAAAATATCAGGCAATGTATTGTGCTCCTCAGAGCCCCTTTCTTTCCCTGGAAGTGGGTTCTTTTCTCGTTTCCTATAGATAGGGAACATTCATGTTTATAGACCAAACACCCAGAAGTGTCTGCAATAGCTCAATACATAGAATGATTGGAAATTTGGTTGTCAGTTGGTCCTGGGATTGGGAAGAAAAACACTGAGTGGGGGACAGAGTGAAATGGGGCACAAGTAAACTTTCTTAGCGATGTTATTAGGAGACCAGGCAAAAGATTTGTTATCAAAATAAGCTTTTTTTTAACCTTATATACTCTTAACTTACTATTATTAGAATCCACACATCATTTCCTACTAACTCAGCAAGTATATTAATGTAATATGGATTGTTAGAAATGTTGACTAGATACAATCACAAAACAGATTTGGTATCTATTCTGGATCTTTCTCAATGGCTTGCCTGTGTTGTGTTATAGAATCTTTGATTGCTGCACTCACTAGCTTGGCTTTTCTTCTCCCAGTTTTTCATTAAGTGGTGTAATTAAGAAGAATCATGGTATGGGGCAGCAAGCACATTTACAATTTATCCCTCTGACTACATTCTTATAGTTATATATATGAATGTACATACATATGTTTGGCAGTGTGCACAGGTAGTCATGGTGGATCAATGGTTCAAGGAAAGAGCAGATGTCTTGACACGTATACAATTTGGTGAGAAGGGAAACTGGCAGAGAATTGAAAGTTCTATTATAACGCAAAAACCTGTTTTTATAGTCATATAACCCTTCCATAAGTATTTACTGAATTTCTTGTTTGCAAAGTATTGTTCTAGGCACTGGCCATACAATGGTGAAGAAATCTGACACAGTCTCTGCTCTCATAGAGCTTACATTCTAATATGAGAGACAAACATTAAGTAGACAATTATTTGATGACAATTGTGATGTGTGCTACTGGATCATACACAGTACATTAAGAATGAGAGTATATATCTAGGAGACCAAGGGGAAAGATGTTTGAGCTGATTTTTAAAGGAAAAACACTTAGTTGGTGATGATGGGGAATGGGAGGGTCATTAATTCTGGGGTATTACAAGGAACAATTGAGCAAAGTCTTGTTGATGGAAAGGAATAAAGTACATCCACAAACTGAAAAGGTCAGCATGACTGGGGCACAGTGAGCAATAGGGATAGTGGCCTTGGATAGGGCTGGTGTGGTTTGCAGGGGCAAAAGTCATGCAGGAACATGTAAGCTGTATTAATAATTTTGTTCTTTATCTTAATAATAATTGTTGAAGGCCACTAAAATGTCTTAAGCACTCACCCCAATGTAGTAAACAGGTTGGTATGGCAGATAGAGTATTGGTTTGGCAATTGGACCTAGAGTGAAGGATTACAGACCCTTGAGGAAATCATTAACCTCCTGAATGGGCTTCATTGTGCATACATTGTGGATCTGGATGAAATGAGTGCTAAGGTTTCCTTCAGCTCTAACACTTTATGAATAACTCTGTATATTCAAAGCCAAAATGTCAGTAACAGGTCACTTGATTTGCTGGTGAACTGCTCCTGTCTCTAGACATAAACACCTTTCAGATCCAATTATGAGCCATACTTTAATCTGAGTGTTAACAGTCATAGGATTGATGTTTGATTACCTCAAAGAAGGCTCAGAAGTCTTCTTGAAAATGGGAAATGGGAAGGAAGGTAGCAGTAACCAGATGCAAAATACATGTAAAGAATGTTTAATATTGCCTGAGTCCAGGGGTTTGAGATCTGCCTGGGCAATTTGGTGAGACCTTGTCTCTGTACAACAAATGATAAAATCAGCTGGGCATGGTAGCCTGCGCCTGTAGTTCCAGCTACTTGGAAGACTGAGGACGAAGGACAGCTTGAGCCCAGCAGGTCGAGGCTGACGCCCTGCCGCTACACTCCAGCCTGGGTGACAGAGTGAGACTCCCACCCTAAAAAAAAAAAAGAATGTTTAATAAGGATTAGAAGAGCAGGCAGATGAGGGTGAGATGGGAAATTCAGCTCACCAGAAACACTTAACAAAATCAGCTAGTGTCAGTCAAAAGGAAGCTTAGTGGTGGGAAGGGACTGCTTATTAGCAAGCCCCATCGTCATCTGGCGCTTCACATCTCCCTCCTCCCATCATTTTTGACATGTATGATTGACGTTCCACAAGCTTACGCAATATATTATGTAAACACAGTTTCAAGCACCTCAATCCTTGAGATTTGCTCAGATTCAACTTTTTCTACTTAAAAATTCTGGAGCAGCTAGTGACGGCAACTCAGTACTCAGACTGTGTGTCTGTGTGAGTTCTGGGGCAGGAGCAGATTCACTGGGTCCCTTCATTCCAAAGTGTTCGTGCTAAGTGGGACCTTGGAGATCGATCACCATGAAAGCACATTCATTCTGCCGAGGACAAAACAAGAACCTTCGAGATGAAGTGCCTTTGCCAAGGTGACACTAAATGGAGGAGCCTAGCCACAGTCCAGGGATCCTTGCACGACCCTCGGTGGTCTCCCTTTACCTGTGAAGCCGCAGCCCTCTTCCCGGCCTGGAGGCGCGTGCAGGAGGCTGGACCCGGGGCGGCCTCGGGATACCCGGCTGCTTGGAGCTCGCCTCCCTGGTCCAGGCCACCCGCTCGCTCTCCCTTTTCCTCCCCCTTAGGCATTGCTTCGGGCGCCCGGTGCAGGGTGGGCACGGCGCCCGCCACCAGCCTCAGGCGCTGCGAGAAGCGCAATTTCTTCTGGATGACCGAAGAGACATCGAAACAGGCCGGAGCGAAGTGGTCAGAGCAAATGACGGAGCGGTCATTGCCCCCGTACCAGTCGGCGCGGCAGCCTCGCACGAAGCGGTCCCACAGCAGCCGCACCGCCCGGTCCTTGGGGAAGCGGAACAGCGACTTCCCAGCCTTGGTGGTGTTCCCGCAGTGGGCGGCCACGCAGCGGGCGGGCATGGCAGCACCGTGGTCCCTGCGGCGTCCTCGGCGAGGCGCGGCCTCCCTTTACCTGTCGCCTCCGGGTCAGGCTTATTTCCTTCCCTACCTCTGGTTGCCGGAAGTGCCGGACGGGGACCCCAAACCGGAGGGCTCCATATCTCCAATCTACACCTCCTCCCTGCACAGCTCTCCCAGAGCCGGTAGACGCCGGCAGAGGGATACAAATTTCGCGCGGGCCGCGCTGAGGCGGGCCGGAAAGAGAAACGGACCGGAAGTGGCGGTTGTCATAGCCACCGTTGTGGCCAGCCTCTTCCCCATCTTCTCCTCCTCTCGGTACTCCCGTTCTGTTTTTACGAGGCCAGGAAGATAGAACGAGGAAGTGCTGACGTGCCAGGCCCGGACAAATACAACCGGAGACTGGAACCACTGCGTCGCCAAGGCGGTTTGGGAGAGGACCAGACCGGAAACGGTCGTTTCCATGGTAACCCCTGAGCGGGTTGTCTGGGAGATGACCTCTTTAAGTCTCTTTGAATTTCGGCTGTAGCGTCACTTCGAAGGCAGATCTAACAGATCCTGGACCGTCTCCTGCCATGATTCCCGGGAAGTACCGCTCTGTTTCTGGCCGGGCTGCGAACAACGTAGGTTGGGCCTCCTCCTTTCTCTTTCTTCGCATGGGTATACACCTTTCTGACTGGCGTCTTTGTCCTAGGTGATAGGCTGTGTTCTGGGGACCCGGACGCTGAGCCTCCCCAGGCTATTGTCTGACTGGGGCTTGAGGTTCGTGGGCTGGACCCAGGCACAAATTTAATATTGTATGATGGATGTTCAAAATCTTGGCCAGGATCTGGGCTCCCAGAAGGTGGAGCTAGTCTGCTGTGAAAGTCTCAGGTTCATTTAAATTCCTTTGGCCAGTCAATTCCTTTTTTCTTTTTTTTAGTTGAGAAAAGAATTTATCATTAGGCACGCCCACCTTCTTCACCTGCCCCATCGGGGTATTTATTTGGACCAGAAGTGGTCGAAAACCTCAGGTACTAATTTGAGGGTTAAATCGCTGCCGACATTTTGGAAAATAAATCAGTTAAACCTGTTATTTCTTAGATGCGATTTTATTGTTTTCAGCAAATCCTCAGGACATGATCATTTACCAGAAACAAACAAAAATAAAGCATTCTCTTCTATTCTGATTTCTTGTTAAATCTTTATCTGTACCATTTTTGGGGGGAATATGTGTTTGTGTTTTTAAGTTAAGAACAAATTTTATGGTTTAATTTTTACATTTCAGGTGAACTGTGGGCTTCATCTGGTTATTCAAACATCATCGCTTCCTGAAAAAGGCAAAGTAAGATTTAAGCAGATTGGAATTTAAATTGAAGATAAATTGTTTTATATTATACGCAAATAACAGCATGATTTAAAGAGTAGATTCTGCACTGGAAATATTAAGTATATTTACTTTAGTTTCCAATGTAAAGCTAATTCTTATTTTCTGCCTACATAAAGCCAAACATAGCCCTCTTTGAGAAACTTAATGTTATTTCATCGATTACAAGGGTTAAGTTTTTCAACTTTTAAACACTTCTGAAATCAGGATCCTTAAAATTGATGACTTATCATTGTTTAATTGGGAAGATTTTTTTCTTTCTTAGTAGTGAGTAAAATAATGGTATGTCTTACTACTGATAACATCTTAGAACAGAAAAAATGTGGTAATTTGGGAGAGCATATCACACATCACATTTAAAATCAGGAAAGAAAAGATAGATTAGCAGCGGAAACATGTTAGGTTCAATGTTATTTAGAAATTAAGATTAAAATGTGAGACTTTCCCCCTAAACTGTTTGCCCATAATATCTCTGGCATTTTCAGTATTTCTGACTTTAATTTAATTTTGAGATAAACATGTTTTTCCTTCCCTCCTGTCTCATCTCAGCACTCAGATTTATCCACTTCCCACATAATTATGTTTCAAGATACAACATTTTTTCCTCCTTTGACCCAGTTGGATACCTCCAGCCATCTCAATTCAGTTGTTTCCTAGACAATTGTTAAATAGAAGTTGCTGAAAGAACGCTAAAGTGAAGGGCAGAGTTTACAGATAACAGCTTGAGGAGAGTAAATGGAAAGACACCATTAGTCAAACGGGCAGCAGTTGATTATATCATATGTGAACATGAAAATGGAAAATAGAACATTCTGTCATCTCGAGTAAACAACTGTTAGCTAGATTAATTGAAAATATTCTTCATTATAATTGGACATAATAGATTTCCTTCAAAGCTTTCCTAATTGATTTTACTGAACAAATCCTCTTCTAGCATTTTAATGTTTTTGGGAACTGTGTGCCTCTTCCAGACTCCTTCCAAACCATTCACTTTCTCTTGTGTGGACATATATTCTGAGGAAATACCTTTAGGTCATACAGTTCCTAGGGATATAATGCAAATGCCAATATGTGTCTAGTATGGATGAATGAGAAGCATCAATTATTTTAAGATACTCATTTGGGGTTTTTTGTGACTAATCATAAGAAATTATTTTTGTTTTGTTTTTCTCCGTCTTCCTACCAGATAATTATTTTAAATCAATTTAGTAAAGACTCTTAGAAGGTTTACAATTAAAGGGATTCTAATTATCAAAACAGTGATTTTTAACAGCATTTTATTTTATATTGTGTGTGTGGTTTTTTTTTTTTAAGCAAATGATTTTTTAAATCATTGTGTGTGTGGTGAGGGTGTGGAAGGATTAAGTACCTCAAATTAGAGTATGCTTCCACCTGACCTCATAAAATTGACTCTGAGTTTGTTTATGGTAAAATATACATATTGTAAAATTTGCCGTGTAAACCATTGTAAAGTGTACAATTCAGTGGCATTAAACTTAATTAAACTTAATGCCACTGAATTGTACACTTTACAATGGCTTACATGGCAAATCACCTCTATGTAGTTCCAGAACTTTTTCAACACTCCAGACGGAATCCCTGTACCTATTATGCAGTTGCTTCCCATTCCCCCCTTTCCCTAAACCCCAGCGACCCACAAATGTGCCTTCTGTCTCTATGGATTCATTTAGGATGATATTTTCAAGGTTCATTCATGTTGTAGCATGTGTCAGTTATTGTATATAATAATTATATTCATGACTTGGTGTTACAATCTTCTCCAAATATTTTTCTTTTTAATGTTTTTCAGGTTGACTTCAAGCTACATAAAGACACACCTTCATTCCCCGGTAGACTCTTACAACATGACCTTGAAAGAAACTACTCAAGTCGGCAAGGTATTGTCAGTGAGTAGAGATCATATGGTTTGTCTTCTTTGAATAATATTAATCGTTTAATAATGTTGAATTACTAGATCCAAATAAACTTGGATTAAAAATGAAATGGTGCATTGGTTACCAAATTGTTTTGGTATTTGTTTGAATCAGAATTGATTTTATATACATAGCATAGTAGATTATTTCCAGAATAATAACAACAGAAAAAGGTGTTGTTATTTTAGTTTGAGAGTGGGTTATGTATTAGAGAATGGGGAAAAAATGTACCAAATACTGTATTAGAATTAGGGAAATGACTGATAAGAGTAAGAGTATAGGAGCACAAATCTTTAGGAAATCAGGAAATAATGGAAAGTCAGGAGTAGGAAAGAAACGATCTATTTACTACTGCATATATGTATAAGTATTTTATATTAAAGGTCTTAAGCTTTTGTGTGTATCCCTTGGAATCTTGTTAGAAATGCAGATTCTTAGTGCTCCCCCTCATCTTTCTCATTCTGGTTTTGTAGGTCTTGGGTGAGCTTTGGAAATGTGAATTTTAATGACCCCATAGGTGATTCTGATGAAGGCAGTTTGTGGATCGCCCTTTGACAAGTACTGCCTTATACAATCTGGTTGTATTTCTAAAATATATTTTTCAAATCAAGGAAAACTTGCCTTCAGGACATTTGTGTCTTAGTTAGTTGCTAATGACTGCTAGCTGTCTGAAATGTGCTAATGTTGGACACTTGAAAGCCCATGTGTACAGCACTGGCTCTGCCACCTAGGCCTTTCCAGATTGCTCATCTCATTGCTGTAGGGACATATAGTGATTTTGAATATTGGATAAGTTTCCCTTTTTGTTTTGTTAATTCTGGACTCTTCTCTTGGGCCTTTTTGATCTGACATGTCTTTTTCTTTCTATATTCTACACTATTGTCTTGGTAAATTGCTGGACATGATGTCAGCCTAACTGCAGCTCCATAGTGCAGGAAGCATCTGTCTTGCCTTCTTTGGTTCAGTTCATTACATGTTTATAAAGTATGTGCTATGTGCCAGCCACTGTTTTAGGCACAGAGTTATAGATGTGGAAATTCTCAGCTAGGGTTTCTTATGTTTGCATTGTTAACTTCCTTCACATTTTGATAGTAATGTCTTAATATTTTTTCTAAATCATGAATCAAACTTAAAAACTTCCCCCATGGTTTTCTTGAGTTGGAGTAGGGAGTTTGTATACAGATTTGTGGCTGGCTGGCCACAATTTATTTAAGAGTAAATTATTACTAGGTATTTGCTAATGAGGAAATAATATGGGTGTGCTGAATTTTGTGAGCCTGAAAGATGGATAAAATATTGTACATAAGTAATAACTCACACAATACAGATTAACTCCTGGCAAAAAAAATAAACCTAATTGATTTGTCATTAAAACATTTTATTCAAAATCATTTTCTGTGACAGGATACTCACTTGATATGTCTTAAATGTGTACCTGCTGTTTCCAGTGTGCCTCCTCCATAGTTCCAGGCAGTTTTATGCAAAACAGGGTACACAACTTACAGCTATTTTTTTGACTTTTGTGTTTAACTTTTACCTCCAGGGGCATAAGACTTTGGAAAAATGATAAGTAGTAATAATAAAAATTATAAAATTATTGGACCACTGGTTCCCATTCATTTAGAGGATCTTGTTTATGGATTTTAAGAACTTTCTACCTAATATTTCTTATCTTTTGCTATTTATTAGAAGTTGTATATCACATTGATAGTAA